ATTAAAAATTTATGGTTTTAAAAAGTACACAAACCATCCAAAACAGTCGAATATCTACGTCGCAGTAATAAAAATAAAAAAAATCGAACATTATAAAATATTTTCTACATAAATCAACGAAGACTGGTTGCAGAGATGACAAACCAAATGCCGTATTTAATGTCAATACTTATGAAAAATAATCAACTGTATAAACTTCGAAATAAAAATAACGACATAACAAATCCTACAAGCCCATTTAAAGAAGACGAATGAATGTTCATTTCCTAATAAAGGTCTTTGTTACCACAAACAAAAACAAAAACAAAAAAAAAAAACAGTAAACAAAAAAATAAGGTTACCGAATAGCAATGGTCTAAAAACTCGAAGTTATGAGCTTTTAGAAGACAAATGCCTTCTGGGAAACCCTGAACCAAAAATAAATCATGCATCGAGGATTAGCTCGGTTCGCCTAACACTAAAACCTCAAATGAACTGGAAAAATCAAATTCAAAATGAAGTGCCTAATGAGATCGCGAATTTTTTTGATAAAACAGTTCTTTAAATTTGATGCAGAAATTATTGTCAAGCCCATATATCCAGAACAGCAATAAAACTCTAAACTTTTAACCTAAAGAAGTGTAAACGTTTGTTCAAAAAATAATGCTTTATTTAGGTTCTGCTTATTGCCTCGAATGAGATTTTATGAAACTTATGTATATCTCTTTAAAGTTTTCTTGACAGTGTAGTGTGTTAATTGGATTACTGCCCCAACTCCAACTGTCAAAGAATTATTAGATAAAAACTTCAAGACAAACCTCTGACTTTCTTTTATTCACTCTTATACTACTTATTGCAAAAATATTGTAAAAAGAACCAAATATGCAGTAGCAATTTTGGTCTCAGGAACGAAAAATTTACTGCAATATAGCGATAACAGAAATTGTAAACGTAAATAAAATTAATCTAGCTACTCCAAACGAAATCCTATCATTAACAAACTCACCAACAGTGATGAAAAACCCCGCAATGTATTATTGTCATCGAACAACAGTATTGCTGAGCGGACTGTGCATTTCCTGTTCTGCTCTACGAATAAGGTGTTATACATATATGTATATA